CATTTTTATTGGAAAGCCAAGAGAAGTCTAGACAAGGAACTTGACTATAAATTCCAAGCTGATGATCCACTCTGCCTTGCAGAGGTCTTATTGAAAGCTTTTTCCCCCCCACATCTTGCTCTGCATGATGTTCTTGCTATGCAGCTTTGAGTAGCAGGTTGAGGAAGATGACAGAGCCTCCAGAGCACTGCAAGAACTGAAGTATTTGTGCTTAGAGACTCTCAGTGAAATGAAACATAAAAATTCACATTTCAGATAACAAACACACATACACGTGGGTGCCAGATGGCTCTAGCCAGTTAAAGTGTCCAGTGATAAAAATACCTTCATTTTCAAAGAGGGAAAAAAGCAGTGGCAAAACGCAGACTTTCTCCATGTGTCTCCTGAGCTCTGCCAGCTCAGCACCTCTGTACACTAAAAAAAAGCAAAAGCTAATGCCAAAATACAAGAGCTCCCTGATTCTCAGCAGGACGAAGGCTATTTCCTTGCCAACTTGTGCCCATGCTTTCCCTAGCAGATTATCCATAACTCCCAAGGAGTTTGAGGACTCTTTGCAATAGCCATGCCCTCCTCCAAACTGTTCCTGAGCAGAGCTTGAGGTGAGCACAGCTCTTTGAAGTCACGCTATGCTTCCTCTACAGAGCCTTCAGTAAAAGCAGCACCACCAACCAACTTGAATCTCACCTCTGTGGGTCAAACTACTACAGCCAAATCCTCTTCCGTCACTACAACACCTCTAGCGTTGACTGTGCGAGGTAAGTATGAAAAACTCAAGTTTTTGCTCAGGCAGGACCTGTTTATGCATCCCTCCTTATCCAAGCAAAACTGGGGGCATCAGAAAGACTGGGCTAGTCCACGCCATGCTACTTATTCAGTAGCAGCAACTTTTGAATCTCTCAGAGTCTTTGCTAAAAGAGCAGCTCATTCCAGCTTCCCAAAAGCACAGGGCTGGACACAGCCATGACCTAGACTTGGCAGCTGCACAGCAAGCCCGTTATCAGAAAAGCCAGATCACGCTTTACCAGCGTGTTTTGTGGAGGAACTACAGGCACCCCAACCTCCCCAGCAGACCCCTCCCAAGCTCACCTCTCATGTACGCTCTCTAAACTGACTGCACATCTTGCTAGTTGGGCACCTTGATGTTTGTTTGGAGGGGACGTCTCATGCAAACAAAGTTTTTTACCCCATGGAAACCCAATAGCTCTCCATAGCACAATTAGTAGCATCTTCAAGAGTTAATTCTCCTTTCCCATGTTTTCTTTATCCAGATGAAAAGTCTAGTGGAAGCAGCAGCACAGCCGTTTCACCACCACAAGGTACTTTGTTCTTTTATAGAGTAACAATAAGTTTAGATAATTTCATGGCAATTGGCTTACTTGGCTCACATGGTGCAGGTTGTCTAATCACTAGTCTTTATGTTGGGGTTGAGCCATCAGTAACACCGAAAATCATGTCTGGTATCCTTACAAACAGTGATAAAACACAAGACTAAATACACTTAACATCCCCTGCCTGGGATGAACTTGAACAGTTGAAAGACTGATCTATGTTTAGGAAAAGGGAGCCCTTTTAATATCCTTTAAAAAAAAATAATTTTGCTTTTGACAGTTTGCTTAACCCAGCCTGTGAGCAAAAATTAGAGAATTCAGTAAGAGTCTTCTCAGAGTAAGGACAGAATCCAAGTGAGTGGGAAGACTGAAATCTGACAACTGAGCTGATTCCCCATTAAAGATTCAGTCTCAAAAATCTGCAATGGTCAAGACAAAAACTGCTCTGCCTCTCCAAGCACTTCTCAGATCTTCTCTAACACAAGCAAGGTTAAAAACCTGTGGTCAGCACTGCCTGCACAGATGTCCAACCAGCACGCCTGTGCCCAGCTAAGCCAAGAGCCCTTTGCATCAGAGCAGATTGCTATTAATTATAACCCTGCTTTATATCTGGAAAGCTCCATACAACTTTGGCTATAGAAATGTTGCTGATGCTTCCAAAAGCGAGGTCTCCTGTGTGAGAGACCCAACATTTTCCAGGGACGAGGTATCCATGCCAAGCTCAGCAAACCACAGCTTCTGCCCATGCCCATGGCTAGAAGAACAATTTCAGAATGAAACAAAAGGGTTGATGACTGGTGAAAAAATTGTACAGCAGTAGTCCCTGCTTCTCAGGACTGTTCTGCTCCATGTGGTTTCTGAACCGGTTACATTTGTTATTTCATGCCTTCTCCCCTTTTCATACTGTTTCCCCTTTTTCTTCTGACTTTTGGCAAAATTACGTTCCAAAACAGTGATGTTTTCTGCAAGACAGGAACCCCAGTTTCAGTTGCACGCCCTGCGCTCCACTTGCAGAGTGCCAGGAGCTGTTTCACACTTCTCCAGGCAGCACATACTTCTGGCCAACGCTCCTATTGGGAAGGTGGGGAGGGAAAGGAGGAAAGAAGATCTTATTTGACCTACAGATGATCTTCTGCAGCTCTCAAGTTTTATTTTCAGTCTCCTGACAGGGCCTGTAGCTGTTCATTAAGGTCAATGCAGAAAATCTGCACGTTCAACACACATCCAGGAGGCAGCAAAGGATTTTTTTTCTGTGTGCAAGTGAAACACACAGGCTACCTTTAAACTTGCTTGCACAGGCCTTAGAAGCAGATGTCACAAACCAAACAGCTTCATATCAGCCAGTTTATCCCACTGAGAACTGAAGGCCTTGCTCGAACAAACCTCTACACTGCCACAGCTAGACTACATATGGTGTACAAGTTAGCCCAACTCAAACTAGTTTAATGACTTCTAGATAACCCAGGACAGCATACTCACTAATTCCAAGGACAAGGACAAGCCAAACAGGCAACCCATGCCCACAATCTGCAGAATTTCTTCCCCTAAGCAGATTTTTTTTTTAAAGTCTCAATGTTTATGAACAATAGCAAATCTATAAACTTCCCAGTTCATTCTTCCAGTATTCAATTGCTGTCTCTGCCCAAAAACTCATCTGGGACTGCAGAACCTGAACAGTTTACAAGGGTATTTGAATTTTGGTTCCCTGAGTTTCTGTTTAGACATGGAAAATAGTACAAAGTATGTTTGGTGGGAAGATTTTAGCCCGCGTACAAATTCCACGTTTTCCCAGATATCATCAGCATTACTGTAATCCGTTCTCCTCTCCCGCATGCCCATTAATTCTTTTGGTTATTTGATGACACTCAAGGACAATACTCACATTCTGCATTTCCTCTATGCAGGTCAAGAGCCCAAGAGAAGCGAGAGTACCACAACATCAGCAACTCAAGGTGCTTTCTCCTTTCTCTCGCAGAGAGATGATTACTGCTAGGTATTTTATAGCCCTTTTCACAGCCAGAGGCAAGGCCATCATACTGCTGCCTTCAACGCAGCATGGTGAATGGCCAACGAGTACCTGAGGGATGCTGGCCATCCCATCTAGCCCTTGAAAATCCTGTAAAGCTCCACAGAAGCAGCACGTTAGGGCAACCTGTTGAACCTGGGAACAGTGGTTGTGAGTCACAGCAGGAAAGGTGCCACCATGGCAAAAGGTTATAAAGGGAGGGAGACAGGACAAGCCTCCCTCTCAAACACACAGCCAGATGAGTCCTTCGCCTGCCACACTCAGCTTCATCACTAGGGGCCCAGCAGAAAACCCTGCCGGTGTTCTCAGACTGTTGATAAAAGGGGCCACACCAAGGCAATCCAATTCCCACATAGGTCTTGGTCACTTTGCTGTTAACGTTGATGGGGCTGGCCAGCTTCTCTTCAATAAAGTGCAAGTGCGAGTTAGGTCCTCTAGCATTGCTAGGAATCCTCTTCCCCGCCTTGAAAGAAAGACTTATATATAAAGCTACCTTTTTCCCTTCTTGTAGGCACCTCTAAGCCAGCTACCCCAACACCGAAGTCCTCTGGCTACTTGCCTATGCCCACTCCAACAGATGATAAATCACCACTGACAGTGGCAGCTTTTGGTAAGGTCTTGTGCAACCTGGGGAGAGGATGGGGGGGTCTGTTTCACCAGGCCATGCTGTTTTGGACACCCAGCTTCAAAGATGCTTCCCTGGAGATGGCTCCACAGTTTTCCTCTTCAGCATGCCTGATCCTGGAGTTTTCAGAGTGCAAGGGAAAACCCTTGTGAAAAAAGACTTGTCACCAGTGGGCAACAAAGCACCTAATAAATACTCCCAGCCATATCCAGTATACACGGGACAGACAATTTGAAAGTCCATCATGGCTACACCTGAGCTTGGGATCTTGCTCCCAGCACCAGTGTTTGCCCCAGCTCCATGTTAGGACAAGACCTGGGCACAAATGATCCCATGCTATGCCTTGGTTGCCCTGAAAGGGTCTAGAATAAACACATGCCTGGAAGCTCAGATTCAGACTTTTTTTTTTTCCTGCAAACCTCTTCGGACTGCATTCCCACCCTGCCTGACTGCTTTCCCCTGTACAGCTGCACCCTGCTTGGCAGGAAGCAGCCAAGTCCTCCGCATCCTTCAGACTGTGGAAGGATAGAGCAAGAGATGCCATACCTTAACCCAGCAATAGATTTGAAGATAGGCACGGGGTGGATTTAAGAGACCCACTCTGCCTTGGGCTATACAGTCCACCTCCTCCATGAAGATGAGCAAAAAACCCAATTTGCTCATTTCTATCACACTATACAAAAAAGTGTTATTTCAGAAGCATTTTTAAAAGTCAAGTGTTAACTTCATAAGTATCATTTGCTTATATCCTCCAAGGGAAGCCACAAGAAGTCCTGAGGCAGTCTTAACAGGACAAGATTCCTGTGCAAAGAATAGTTTGATTTATTGAGGCCAGATTATGAATCAAATCTGCAGTTAGCCACTGGTTTATGAGACAGATAACATCATTCACAGTCTTTAGCTTGTCTCTGCCCATTTCATTATGTATTTATCTGACTTTATATACCTTTAGGATAAGATTTACCAACTGTAGTAGGGAATACTGACTTCAATCAATCTCCAGCGTAATCAGCTGACTTCTGCCCTCCTGGCACTGCCTTACCAATTAAGTATTCATCAGAAGCCTTTTGAGGCTAAAACACAAGAAGATAAAGCCATTCACTTGAGTGACTACTTACTTCTCTGCCTATTACGTACCATGTTCATTTCAATGAAAATATTGATTGCCTACCCAAGTTTTGATGACAGTCAAAGTCTCTCTGCTACCCCAGAAGCCGAGGACAGGTACATTGTTATATCAATCACAGACAGTTCTTTCCTCCATCCCCAGGTGTCATCAGCTTCATAGTTATCCTGATAGTGGTTGTGATCATACTGGTCAGCGTGGTCAGCCTGAGGTTCAAGTGTAATCGCTCA